TCTTGGGGGGCTTGGGAGCGCTGACGGGCATCAGCACCACGTTCTGGATGGTTTGGGACTTCGCCTTCTGGTCCTTGGCCAGTTTCTTCTGCTCTTCCAGCTGCCGCTCCAGGTCTGCGAAGAGAAGACAACCAACCATCACACCCCACGTTTGTGACCATCATGCCCCAGCAGCACGAGCTCAGTGCTTCACTCAAATCAAACTGCACTGAAGGAAAAGGTGGCTGGATTCTCCTGCCACCCACCTGAGCTGCTTTGGCCAGCTGACAGGGAACAAGCAATCATAGAATCTTAGAATCATAGAATGGTTTGGGTTGGAAAGGACCTTCAGATCATCCAGTTCCATGGGCAGGGACACCTCACACTAAACCATGTCACCCAAGACTCCATCCAACCTGGCCTTGAACACTGCCAGGGATGAAGCATTCACAATATCCTTTGGCAACCCATTCCAGCGCCTCAGCACCCTCACAGTAAAGAACTTCTTCCTTAGATCTAACCTAAACTTCCCCTGTTTAAGTTTGAACCCATAATGCTTTATGTCAGTTGTCTACTCCTCCTGAGGAGAAGATGGGTATTTCTGCTCCCGAAGCCAGACCCACCTACAGGGGAGAGTGGAGAACCCTCCCTGGGCAGCAGGAACTGCTTCCCAAGCTTGGCTGGATGCCCTCCCCAGGAGCCAGGCGCTGGTGACAGGGAGCAGGACTGCCTGTGTCAGGAAACATCACCCTCCACCCGTCTGTGTGAACACTGGGAGTCAGGAGTAACCCTGTCATCTCACTTATCCAGGGCAGTAGGGGACTAGGACATCCCAGATAAGAACAGGTCCTACAGGACACGGTGAGGAGGGAGACAAGCAGCTCTGGGGAATCCAGGTCAGGTCATTGGCTTCAGCTCAGGGGAAGCTGTGTAAGACACACGATAGCTCCAGGCCAATGCGAGCAGACAGCTCAGCACCCAGAGCATCTTAGCAGCAGCTTGGGTGGCTGCAGCACAGCTCAGAGCTTGCAGCACCTATTGCCTGATGCTGCTGGAATCTGACTCGCACCCTCAGCACCCCAGCTGGCACCACAGACTTTAGGCTGTCAAATCCCCCAAGCAACTGCTCCCTGGGAGGTAAGGGAGAGGGGAAAATTCACTCAAGCCCTAGGATGGAAAGGGATCGGGATGGATTTGTTTCAGGGCAGCATGTGTTGAAAAGAACCCAAATATGGCTCATGTGGGGGTTATGTCAAAGGAAATCAGCTCCCCAGAGCAGCAGCGGGGTGAGAAGCCTTTACCAGGCACTGACTGTACCTGCCAGAGTGTAAAGAAACTGCTCCTCTCCTTGCTCTGTCTGGTTTTTTCTGTTGTCCAGAACCTTCTTGACCGTGTCCATCAGGCCAAACGTGTGGGCAACATTGTTCAAGACTGCAGCATCTGCAAGGCAAGTGCATTGGATGAGTGTCGAGTCCCACAGGTACTCAAAAGATGCTTGTATCACCCCAAAACCCTGCTGCTGCTTTATGTACAACTATCTCTGCTCTTCCACAGGAGCTGGCTGGCAAGGGCAGACCCAGCTCCCTCATCCTTCTGACATCCCAGGCCTAAACAATCCCATTCCCATGATAAAGACCCAGAGATGTGTCACCCAAGCAGCTCAAAACTGCTGCAAATGAAAGCATCAGTTGCACTCACAGAGATACAAACGAGCTCTCCACCTCCAAACCATCCCCCCATGCTGCTGACAGTGGCATTAACACACCAGCTTCACTGAAAGCTCTGCAGAGTTTCTATTCTAATCCACTGACTTCAATCACTCCCAGCTTCCCAAAGCTGCCACCTCCCCAACACAAAGATGTGCCAGCCCAAAGCTAACTTAGAAAAGATATCAAATAATCCTGCCTAAAATGAAGTTTGTGGCTTTGTGGATGTTCTCTCAGCAAGAGGTGCCCAAAGCCTGTACTCACAGGGGCGTGCTGAACTGGATTAGGAAACGGAGCTGAGTTCAAAATAACCCTAAAAAGGGGAGTTATTTTTAACCCAGATCAGTTCCCTCATCCGGTTCAGCCCCCAAACCAGGTTTTCTGACACAAGTGAGGGGGCAGGACCTGTTGAAGCCTGCACTGTCATGGAGTAAAGTGTTTGGACAACTCTGGTCCAATCTGGGAAGGCTTCCCAAGGGCCAGGAGCTGAGGACAGTCACCCCATAGCCTCAGCAAGCTGCCAGGGTCGCTCTGCTCAGGGAGCAGTGGGGCATGTCATGTCCTCGTGCCTTGAAGCAAATGCACTTCAGAGCTGGGCAGGCTGAGAGCACATCCAGCTGAGGAGCAGGAACTCGCTCAGCACCCTGACTCACAGCTCTGAATGATGGGGATGGACCCTTCTCACTTCATCTTTTGCCTGCAGCTGCCCTTTAAAGCATCCTTCCCCAGGGCAGAGCCAGAGGCTGTGGATCACAACCCACCTGTCATCTGGAAGGGAGACTGACCCAACCTCTGCTGGACGCCTCTTAGGACTTCTTCTATCTCCTTCTGGATGTTGCACACAACCTCTTCCATCAGCCCCACATCAGCTATTCCTTTCCAGAACATCAGTGTGTCCTCTGGCACAAGGAGAGGGGAAAAAGAAGTCAACATGCACAAGCACTTGGTGGTTTCCCCCACAAGGCTAACTTCAACCTTTCAGGCAAGATTAACTTCGCAAGACAAGTTCTAATTTGGCCATTGGGGTGGATATGACATGCCAAAACCCCTCCAAAAGGAGCAAACAGACCTAAGCAGCAAATCAGTAGCATGTTTTCAAGCAGCACCATGACTTCCAAGGTAACATTCACATCCTCACAAAATGCAGAGATTAAAACCTTGGTTTGAGGCAATTCTGCCTCAACTTCTGAGGAGGGAATGCCAGGCACTGCAGCCAGAGAGGCACAGCCACGAGAACTGACAGGTTACTAACACAGGGTGCTAACAAGACACTGATGCTTTCAGTCTAGCTCCAGGCTGGCAGAATGAACAACTAGAAGCCTCTCACTGTAATGTGAGGGATCAGCCACAAGGCCAGGGCTGAAGTCACACCCTGCCTGCAGCAATGAGGAGATCCACCTGGGAAATGCTGGCACAAGGGTCTGGGGGCAGCTCTGTCACTGCCTCAACTCTCCTTATTGTCAAGATTTCAGTCTCTAACAGGCAAGAAGAGGGGAAGAAAACAGCCAAGAAGCAGCCTGAGCTCACCCGAGATCTCATCTGTGTCCTTTTTCATGCCTTCCTCAGTGGCCATGGTGACAGCAGCCGTCAGAGCCGAGTTCCACTCGATGCCCTCCTCCATGCTCTCCTCCGACAGCGCAATCTGGGTGATGCTCCCTGCCAGAGAGGCAGCATCAGCTCCCTCTGCAGCCCCAGTGCTGGGCCCTGCTTTGTTCTCCACCCCCCTCACCCCCTCAGATGACAGGGGCAGGGTCCGAGCTCGTTTATAGAAGGGAAATGGATCTGACCCAATCTTGTTTCTAGATTGAATTTGGAACTAAGTCGATGTGCAGCCATTGTAAGGTTTTACCATGGTGCTTTCCAGGACGCTCTCCTTAGCCTATGGACGACTTTGCCATCTCACTCACCCAGGGCCTTACAGAACTGTAATTTGCCCAGCTGAACAATGCAAAGAGATCACTTTCTGCTCTGAAGCATGGGATTCACTGAGAATTTGCAGTTGGAATCATAGAATCCCAGCCTGGTTTGGGTTGAGGGGACCTTAAAGCTGATCCAGCTCCAACCCCTGTCACGGGCAGGGACACCTTCCACTAGAGCAGGTTGCTCCAAGCCCCTGTGTCCAACCTGGCCTTGAACACTGCCAGGGATGGGGCAGCCACAGCTTCTCTGGGCACTCTGTGCCAGCGCCTCAGCACCCTCATGTCCATCCACCATTCCCCGTCTGGGGATGTGCAGGTGATGTGGAGCAGGCTGCTCTGGGAGAGGTCGGCATCCCTAAATTAACTCCTCCGTATTAGCCCATCTCCTGCCTTTCTAATAGACCCTCCAATAGGAAAACCATCAGAGAACACTGTGTGAGCTTGCTCGGGTGTTTGCTCACATGGACATACCAGGGACCCCTTCAAGGTGAGACACCCCCCCCAGCTCCCAAGGCTGCCTCTCGTCCTTCTGCTTCCCAACCCTCTCAGTGCTGAAGAGCAGAGCTCCTTCCCCACACCTTTCTGAGCAGACATGAGGAGCATTTTCCTCCTCAGAAACCAGAGGAGTCACCTGAATGGTGGGACTGCCCCATCTGGTGCGGGGGCTTAACCTGATTTGATGAGTTCAGGGAGGAAAAGGAGTGCAGGGCCACTGCCATGGTTTCCTACCATCAGCTGATGTAGGGGTCTGCACCACGCTCTGCTGCCCTGGCACCGGCGCTCTGGCGCTGCTGATCAGGAGATCGAACTTGGTGCTTCGACAAGTGTTGGTGCACACTTTGTCGTGCTGGTAGAAGTCAATCTGCCCCGAGTCCATCATCTTCCTATGCAGGGAGTGAGAAAGAGAACCAGGCTCAGCTCAAATCTCAGCCAAAAGAGAGTATTCCACGTAGGAATGCTACATAGGCCATGAGAAGGATGGAGAACAGGAGACCCAAGGGCCACTCTGCACACAAAGTATCTCCTGCAGGGCTTTCAAATGGCAAATACAAGCCACCCCCAGCTTCATATACAGGGTTCCAGTCCTGTTCCACCCCCACCAAGTACCAGGTCCCCCAGGTGAGGCTAGTTGTGTGCAGGGTGAGGAATCCTGGCCTCAGACCACAGACCAAGGATCTCTGCAGGCTCCAGCCAGGTAATGTGAGGCTCCAGGCCATCACCTGAGGACCACCCAGCAGACAGATGCCTGCTCAGGGTCCTGCAGCTGCAGTGATGGGAGCCTGAAGCTGGACACGGCGCTCAGCAAGTGAAATACCTCAGCATGATTCCTCCAAGGCGGATGGCTCTCTTCCAGTCCTTCAGGGTGGACTTCCCAGCCAGGTGAACAAAATGCTTTGGGCTGATCAGTTGGTCATTGAACTGCCAAGGAGACAAAGAAAGAGGGTAACATCACTTTGGAAGTGTGTAATGGAACATCCAACACAGCCAGTCCACAACCCGTCCAACCCCTGACTTCTACCCAGAAAGAGGAGCTGCTTCTCTAACCCCTACCAGCTCCCACCCCTCGCCACAGCAATGCTTCTAACTCCAGAATGGATCTGTGTGCAGGGATCACCCGCCAGCCAGCGGCACTGGAACCACACAGCTCTACCCCAGAGCAGCCCTGAAGGCTTTCCTATGAAGCATGAACCAAATCATCTCCTTTCGGGAACATGGACACTGGAGATCACTAGGGGAGACTCTTGTTCCCTCAAACAGCTGAGCAACATCTGCCTGGCACAGGCATTCACTCAGGTGTCTGCTCTGTCCTGCTCCAGTGACTAAGAGAGCTCCTGGTGAGGGTCAGCAGCTCTCACTGCAGCAGCACATGGGGACTCAGCCTTGGCAGTTCTAGCAAGCTTCAGCACTCAGAACCCTGCAGGCTGCAAAGTCACTCAGTGCCAGGGAAACACAGGAAACAAGGAAGTCCTGCAGAGCTCAAGCTCCAGAGCCTGAGAGCACAGAAGGAACCCACTGCAAAGCTCCCTCACCTTCACACACTTGACATTAATCCCTGGACAGACAAACTTCTTCCAGAGCAGGATGGCTTTGCTCTCCCCGCAGGTGATGGGGTAGGCGATCTCAATCTCCTCGTTCGCTTCGATGGTGTTGGGGTCTAAGGGAGGAGGAAGTGGGGGAAAATGAAACTGTCCACCCAAGAGGCTCCAATCCCACAAGGTGAGAGCTGAAAGCTCACAGGATGGGAGACCTGCACTCAGGGAACCAAAAGAAGGGCAGATCCCTGGTCAGGATCAGTCCTTTCTTGGTCTTCTCCAATACTAACAGCAAATGGCATCTACTTTTTAATACAGCACCACTCAAAAGGAAGCTCATCTATCAGGACAAGGGGAGATGTGCCAGTGAGAGCAGTCTTTGTGGAAACAAAATGCTGTCAAATGGGAAGCACAGATCTCGCTCAGATTTCTCTGATATCTCTCTAGCAGCAGTAGCAGCTATTTCCTGCTAATATATTCTCTTCACACACAGAGTAGCTGCAAAAAGACCCACACAGGAAGCAGAAGAGTAGTCAAGATCTAGTGACAGCACCTAATACCAGGAGCCTTTCCCCACACACTCCCCTGGGATAGCAGGGAGCACCTGGAGCCAATGAGCTTGGCTCTGTTGAACATCCAACCCCACGTGCCAGGCTGTTCCTCCAGCACAGAACCAGCAACCAGAGTGTGATGCTTCACTCAGCGCAGACACGACCACCATCCTCCTCACCATCAATCCTGCCTGCCAGTAGCCAGAGTGAAATCTCGGCTCCCCTGGACCCCCTGGGAGCCCTTACCATTCATTGCAGGAGAGCCAGGAGCTCACTTCCAGGACTTTGAGACCAAGCAGTAACAGCAGACTCTTATTCCAGACTATGCCCAGACCCTGCACCCACATCCATGCCTGGGAAACAGCATCTGCAGGGGCAGAGCCAGAAGGAAGCCCAACGAACTGGAGCCACCAGCCCTGCAGAGGAGGGGATTCTGCCCATGCCAAGCAGGAACTCACCGATCCCTCCCTCTAGCTTGTGGATGGTGTGGGTTTCGACAGCCACCACGGCGGCGCTGGCCTCGGAGCCCTCCTGGTAAATCCTGTTGGGAAAGCGGGGATCCAGAAACAAACCATGGATTCGGATTCACAGCACGGGGTTACCAATTCCCTCCGTTTCTTCCTTGCCTGGAATTTTGTTTGATCCACTTCCAATCGCAGGCATTGGTTTTGGCATATACAAAATACAACCGATAATCCCAAGGCCTGAGACAGGCAGAGGCATTCCCAGCCCTGGCATCACACCCTCCCCACTGCCAGTGCCATGAAGCAGCTCTGCAGTGGTGCTTCCTGCTGCTTTCTCCTCCCGTTCCTGACACACGCAGGAGGAAGCAGAGCAAAATGTCCCAGGATTTCCCCTCCCCGCCCTGTGTGACACTGCAGCACCGGTGATCATGTGGGGAAGAGTCACTGCCATGCCTACAGCCACCCTGTGCTGTGGCTATTATCCAACTGGAGCATCCAACATGTACATCCCGACTGTTCAGATGAAGAGCCTGGCTGGTGGCAGCCGCTTCTCTGCAGCAGCAGCAGCCCAGGTGCCACAGAATTCCCTCCAACATCCCAGTTCTGTTGTATTTTAGTGGATTATCTTCGGGAATGCTGCCATGGATGCAGATATGGATCTGGACACACATCCAGCAGCTGCAGTGTGGCAAAAACCCCATCCTGGGCTGGAGAGGGAAGAGGGAGAGCAGGAGGATGCGTGGCCAGGGCAGCATCACTACCACCTCTCCGCTTCCTTGCTTCCACAAGTGCCACCATCTGGAAGGCACATTATCCCCACAGGACAACTGCAGTGCTCAGAGGCCCCATGGCAGCGACACACACAAAAGCCTTTTTTGCCTTTGGGGTCTTTCTCCCTGCAGCGTGAGGCACAAAACCAACAGAGACCTGGAA